CATCCTTCCTAGCATCATGTCCTTCTCCAAGGAATGAGGGTGCAGTCAGAGTGCTCCTTGAAGGCAAGAATGATGAGGCTTTGGACATGTGCTAGGAGGTGCAGATGCAATATACTAATGTGAAATTGTAGGCTATATTTCTCTTCTTTGTACTTCCATTGCCAACCAGCACTTTCTCTCTCTTAACACTCAAAATATTTTCCTGTCATTGTTTGTTGTTATTATTAACTGTCCACAACTCAAGACAAGTCTCCCAACTGAACAAGTGAAAGAAGTACTGTTTAATCCTGCACCATCCCCATAATTGGTTGTGGATCAATCAGATCATCATGATCCATAACGTTTTCATTGATTGCTTTTTAGATGCAGATTGACGGACATTCTCATTTCTCTGGATTTTCCTTGCCAGACTGTATGCTCTGTAAGGGCAGGGATGCTGTGTTCAACCCCAGCACTTAGTCCAGTGCATGACAAAAGATGAGACATCAGTAAAAAGTTGTTGAATGAGTGGGAAATGCCAAGATCTAAAGAAGTGGGCTTGTCTGGGTGCTCTCTGCTTCCTTTTGAAGGTGCTGACAAATTGTCTGTTTAATCATCTGCTTAAAAATTTTGCCTGAGATTAACACTAAGCCTATTAGAATTTACCCTATTCTAGTTTTTTAGTCTGTTTTTGGTAGACCATGGGATATTTGGCACTCTTCAGTGGAAAAGAGGCCAAGGAGTGTTGGTAAAGGAGAGGAAGACCCTTGACAGGTGGATTGACACGGTGACTGCTGCAATAGGCTCTAATGTGTCAGGAAATGTGAGGATGGCACAGGACAGAAAAGGGTTTAGATCTGTTTGTATGCAGGATCACTATGGGTCATACTCGATTTGACAGTACCTAAAAATAATAATGTTTTTTAGTGTTTGCATTGTATTTTATATCTTTTGTTGTTTTATATCCTTTTTATTCTTATTATTAATTTCAATGAAAATTTACAGACTTTGGATTTCCATTGATTCATTGTTGCACTTTTCTCCCCTCTCAACCCTCTCCCCTAGTACACTACCCTCTTGGAAAAGTAAAAGAAAAATTATTTCATTGTTTTACAATCCCTCCCCCAAGATCCACTCCCCCATACAATCTTCGCTCTGGACTCCAGTCATGACAAAAATACCTAATAATTTTCCCTCCCGAACTGTTTTCTCCCTCATCTGTTTCAATACAGTATGCATTATTGAACCCATCCTCTCAGTCTCCTCCCAAACCTGAGGGCAGTCCTGCTTTACAACAGTGGCACCATGCAGTATTTGTCCTTTTGTGACTGAGATACTTCACTCAGCATAAGTCACCCATTTTGAATAATATTGCATGAGTTCCTTGTTTTTCAATGCAGCATAGTATTCCATTGTGCGAATATACCACAGCTTCTCTAGCCATTCGTTTGTTGATGGGCACTTGGGTTGTTTCAAACTCCTTGCTATTGTGAACAAAGCCACAATAAACATGGGTGTGCATACATCTGCTTGGATGTCGTTTATGGTTTCTTTAGGGTATATTTCCAGTAGCGGAATTGCTGGGTCAAATGGTATCTCTATTTGCAACTTTTTGAGAAAGCGCCATAGCGCCTTCCACAGTGGTTGCACCATTTTACACTCCCAACAGCAGTGAATAAGGGTCCCCGTTTCTCCACAACCTCGCCAGCATTTGTTGCTTGCTGTTCTGTTAAATTTTGCAATTCTGACTGGGATGAGATGATATCTCATAGTTGGTTTTAGAGCTAGGTATTTTGAACATTTCTTTATGTACTTGTTAGCCATCTGAGTATCTTCTTCGTTGAAGTGTCTGTTCATATCCTGCGCCCATTTTGCAATTGGATTATTTACCTTTATCTTGTTGTGGTACTCTTATTTTATAAATTCTAGATATATGTCCCTTATCTGACATGTCATTCCCAAATACTTTTTCCCAGTCGGTGGCTTCCCTTTTTACCCTGAAGAAGTTTTTGGATTTGCATAGGGATTTGATTCTTAGAAAATCCCATTCATCTATTTTATCTTCTCCTGGTTGTAGGTTGCTATTTTATATCTTTTGTGGAAATACCACAAAGAGGTAGCCTTAACAGAAGCATGAATACAAGTCTAAACTTAGAGTGCCAACTCTAGGAGAAAAAGGCTTTTTCTTGGTTGAGTCTGGAGGAGGGTCCTCCTCTCTTGAACTTCTCTTCCTGGATAATCTTCACATGGTTTGACATCTCTCTTTGGCTTATTTATTTAATCTTTGGTAGATCTCAAAATAGATTCACTTAATACATTAACCCAATGCTGTCATGTCAGAACCACCTTATAGGTGATCCTCCAATGGGTTTTCAGAAGCTATAAATCTCATGGAAGGAGATTCTAACACCTGCCTATGAGCTGGTACTGCTACTCCTTACCCATTAGGCCACAGCTATGAAACTTTGTGTCACATACTTTGGCTATGTTATCAGGAGTGAGAAATCCATGAAGAAGGACATCACACTTAGTCAAGTAGAGAGGGTCGTTCCTCCAGCAGCTGACAAAGAGAAGTCTTTCTCTCAGGAACCAAAATGAGGCTCAAAGGCATTGTTGTTCATCTTATAGGCAATTTTGGTGAATTTGAAAACCTTCTAGAAGAGTAACCATTAAGTTGCTCTCCCAAGTTGTCTTGTCTGTTTTAGACCATGACCATAATAACTATTAGAGAAGAAAGCTGCTCTGGACTTCTAGACAAAAGCAGAGAAGTCACAAACCTTGATACAAGGATGGCAAATAATTCTTCAACCTGAAGCCTCTGGATAATGCACATACACACACACAACCCACCAACATGCACTCATACCACACTCAAAGCACAGAAACAATTGTGGAGATGGTGCAGAATGAGACAATGTTTTCTTCTATTGCCCAGAGGGTTGCTATGAGTTAGTGCCAGCTGAACAACACATAAAAGCAACAACACAGCCACCAATTGTTGATCAATTTCTTATACTATAGTGGCTTGTGTATTATTGCTTTGGTGCTAGAAGCTAGGCTAGTGATATTTCAGATACCAAGGGGTTCCAGAGTAAGACAGACTAGAAAGAAACTCAAAACTTATTGCAGTCAAGTTGGGATTGACCAATCAATACCTGATCCTCCGTTCGATTTCTTAAGCTATAAATCGTGCTAGAGGAGTTTGCTCATCTTCCTAAAGAGGTGAAGCTAATGCATTCCAACTGCCAGAGAATCCATTCATCCTTTGGGTTAACAGTACCCTTGCCTGACGGAACACACCACCAGAGCTTCATGTACTTCCACAACACTGGATAACAACAGAAAATTATCTTGCTTGCTTTGACACGTCATCAGGACATATAAGTCAATAAGTCTCTTAGAGAGGACTTCACATTAGGGAAAGCAGAGTGTCGGCAGAGTGAGCGAGACCCTCAGTGAGAAATATTGGCACAGCCATCAGTGCTGTGGGCTCAAATATGCTGGTTCTGTTGTAACAGAAATTCACCTGGAGTTGGAGCCATCTCAACGACCTCTTACAACAACAAGCTATACAGAGGGAATTCGTTGTTGTTCTATGCCGTCGACTCACCTGAAACTCATAGCGACTCTATGTACAACAGCTCTGAACTCTACCCTGTACTAAGCCAGTCTCACTAACTCCAACACACCTAAATCCCATTGCCCCAGTTACCATGTCAATACACTTCATCCAGGGTTTTCCTCTCGTAAGCTATCCCTCTACCCTTCTAAGCATGATGTCCTTCCCCAAGGACCAACTCCTCCTGGACACATGCCTAAAATATGTGAGATGGAGCTTCAGAATCCTAGCCTCCAAGGAGAAACTTGGTTTCTCCCACTCGAAGACAGACCTATTTGTTCTCTTATTGGTCCATAGTATGTTCAATACACTTCTCCAGCATCATAACTCAAAGGAATAAATTCTACTCATTTTCCAGCTCTCTGATACATAGCATGTAACTGCAAAGACCATAAAAAATTTGCTACAGAAGGTCGAGGACTGTAGTCTTCAATATGGATTGAAGCTTAACATCAAGAAGATAAGGATTCTCACCACTGGGCCAATTGGCAATACTATGACAAATGGAGAAGAGACTGAGGTTGTTAACAATTTCAACTTGCTCAGCTCCACAATCAACACTCTTGGCACCAGCAGTCAGGAAATCAAAAGACAAATTGCACTGGGGAAGTCTGCTGTCAGGGACCTCACCAGAGTTCTGAGGAGGAATGATGTCAGTCTGGAGACAAAGATGTGCCTGATCCAGGTTATGGTCTTCGCAATAACAGAGGGAAGTTGTTGTTGTTGTTGTTGTTGTTGTTGTTGTTGTGTGCCATTGAGTAATTTGTGACTCATAGCGACCCTATATACAAGAGCTCTAAACGCTGTTCTATCCTGTGCCAACCTAGCTATCTCAAACACACTTATTCCCACCGCTCCACTCACAGAATCGATCCATCTCATCGAAGGTTTTCCTCTCCTTCACCACCCCTCCACTCTGCCAAACATGATGTCCCTCTCCAAGGATCAGTCCCTCCTTGCAACATGCCCAAAGTATGTCAGACGAAGCTTCAGAATCCTTGACTCCAAGGAGCATTCCAGCTTCACATTCTCCAGGTCAAACCTGTTTGTACAGAGGGAAGTAGCATTAATTATTTCCTAAACAGATTTTTTTTCCCTCTTGCAGACTAAGATACACACACACAAGTATAGAGATAGCATTAACATGGGAGAAGATCTATGGGGGTTGTCAGGATGTCAATTGCAAGGAGACGTGAATGATGTTTGGCTGTCATTATATGAAGTATTTAGTTGATAAATACTGTCTGGGATTTCCTGGCTGATTTCTTTCCCTCACACCACATGCCCTGATCTCTGCGGTCCACTCTGCAGATGCAAATTACCCGAATCAGGCTGCGGGTGACTCACCACCCCCCTTTAAAGCTGCATTAGGTACAACTCAGTGACTGCTGGGGTTGAAGCCATGTCTTACAGACGCTACTTCTCCTGGTTTCTTATCTGCTGCTTGGTGGTGAATGTGGCAGAAGGTAAGGGGTTTGTTTTGTTTTATGTGGGCTCAGTAATTAATAAGTCACAAGAAATGACCAAATGTGGCTCTATGATTATACAGTCCCATAAACTGGGAATATTTACATCGGCTGCAGTCAGCCTGGTGGGTAGAGAGGCTGCGTTTATTATTGAAAGACCTGGCTCACAGTCTCAACGTAAGCTCCAAGACTAGAGAGTTGTCTTTTCTGGCCACCACTAGGCTCATATGTGAAGTGACAACATAACAATAATGATATTGATGATGTGGAGAATCTGGAGAATAGATAAGCTTTCCTATGTAGGGGTGGAAACTCATTACATTTAAAACATCATACAATTGCTAATGCTTATCATTGCACTTTTATCTGTTTCTACCTTGAATTGCAGTAGTGTCTGTCCATCTCTTTTTTTTCTCCCCAGCAGCACAGTTATATCAACATGGCAGGTATCTCAGCTCTGCTTGCTAATTGCTCTAATTAATCACATCCAGTCAGTGGTATCTTCCCACTACTGACATGAGGAAAGGTTACTTTTTCTCTCTTTAGGATTGCACTAGATTTAGGATTATATCAGAATTTGCTTTAGGACTCTATTTCTTCACTGTTCGTCTTTCATTGTCCCCACTACAAATTCTCCTAGGGAGCTCTGGTGACCTAGTGGTAAGGAACTGTGATGCCAACCCAAAGGCACTGGGTTCTAAACCACCAGCCGCTCCACCGGAGAAGAATGGGCAATCTCCTGTGAAAACCCACTGGAGGGTCAGCTATGGTACCATCTCAATGTTATACAACAAGAACTAATTCTCCAGGTGGCGTGATCCTTGGAATTGGTTTGCAAACCACAGGGGAAAGGTGAAATAAGGCACTAGAAGGAATGAAGAGAGGAGAGGGAGAAAATATTGGGGAGAAGGGAAAGAAAAAAGATATTTGGGGATGGCTGACTCTAACTTTTTCTCCATGGAATTAATTCCTATTTTAGATGCTATTCAAGGAACAGGGAGCTCTTGTGGTTTAGTCTGTAAGGAGTTATCATGTTAACACAAAGGTGACACCTCTCTAGCTGTTCGAATTCACCAGCAGCTCCACAGGAGAAAGATGGACAATCTCTTCCTGTGTAATTTACAGCCTCTGGAAACCCTAGAGAGTCACCTATGAGTCGGTTCCCACCTCTGACTTAAACTAAGCTCTTTTCTCACCCTGGGAGCGTTGAGGGGGCTCCAGTAGATCCTGTTAACCCCCAGACAAGTTCCCTGCCCTCGTCATCCAAAGCTTACACTAGAGTACAGAGGTAGAGGGAATGGAGCTGGGCTTGAGATAACCAATGGTCATTTCAGCCAACCTCTGTACCAGCTCCATTACTTACAGCTTGCAAGCAGCTCTTCCACTCACTCCACCCCTCAAGCCTAGCCACTGAGCACCGCCTGCAGCACAGATATCTAGAAATGCTTAATAAAATATAACTAGCCACCTTCTTCCCAGAAAGGGAAACTTTGTTTCAGGAGGCTTTATAAATACACAGCTGCATAGTTATAACGAGATTCTTGTGGTTGGGAGCTGTCAGGTCAATTCAAACACATAGCAACCACATATGAAAGAGTAGGGCTACCAAACAAGAATTTCTCTGCTGTTATCATCCCGGATGAGATGGATTGATAACAGTAACTGGGGCGATGGGGGTTGGGGGGTTGGTGTGTCAGAATCAGTAAGACTGGCTCAGCACAGGGCAGGCTTCAGAGCTGTTGGACATAGGGTCACTATGGGTACCAGGCGACTTGATGGTACATAACAACAACAAGAGCAACAACAACCACAACAAATCTTTAAGGAAGGAGACTACCAGATCTTTCCCTCAAGAGAGCAACCAGCTTGGTTGCCAAAGTTTGGTTTAGCAGCCAGTTCTTCAGGGTTTATGCCACCAGGGCTCTTCGTGAGAGTGAATATTCCTTTTATTTACATCTAAAGAAACATTGAAATGTGAGAGTTGTTTTCCTCCACTCCTCAAACTGGCCTGTCTTCCCAATGTGTCTTCACTCCATTTAAGCAGCCGACTCATCACTAACTTACTCATGAACTGGTCTGCCAGACAGGGTCATTTGTGGTTCCCCACATTCACCCTGTTTTCTGTCTCCTGCACAGCAGCAGTAGCTGCTGTTGTTCCTCTTCCTTCTTGCCCCTCTGTTGTCTCAAGTCCTGCATTTATATGCCTCTATAGTGTTGCCTTCATAAAGTCTTTGTTAGGACACATCGTTTTTCTCTCTGGCGGTTTTGAATTCTTCCATAGCACTTAATACACTTGGCTCTGCACTAGAGATTCCTAAGTATGTAGCTTCTCCCCACTCCTGAGTACAACCCACGCATCTTTGTCGTTTGTATTTGACATAATGATAATGACATCATTGAAATGACGTGCCTTATAGTACAGAATGGAAAAAGTCCTCTGTGACTCTGTCTAGGTTTCACACAACTCATCTGTAAAATCAGGGGTTTGACCAAGCTATCCCATCATTCTGGGAATCTGCAAAATTAGTTAGTTGTGTTTAAGTTATTGTGAGTGAATTAATCACAGAATTTATGTTTCTTTCTTGTTCACTTCTGAAAGCATCAGAATTTTTCAATGACCCCATGTGCCATGCCAGGGAAGAAATTAAAAACTTCTGAGTTTACAACCCTTAAAATCAGTACAGTTCACTGCAGGTCAGCTATTGTGTGCCAACTAACCAGACTGAAGGTAATTTAAAAAAAAATATTATCATTACCTTTTTAAAAAGAAAGTACCAATTGTATGATATGAACGTCCTGTCTAGATTATATAAATTCATTAAAAATTTGTGTCCAAATCCCAAGCAATATTTTGTCTTGACTTCTTTATTATACTATATTTTTTGTAACTTTTTTAGTTTAATGAACATTTACAAAGATTTTAGATTTCCATTCATTCTTTGCTGCACTTCCCTCCCCGCTCAGCCCTCACCAGTTCACTCCTCTCTTTACAAGTAAAACTCCTTCCCTGGAACACAATCCCACCCCCACCCCCGCACCCCTCCCACCGCCCCAAGTACATTCCACTATGCAACCTTAATTGTGAACTCTTGTGATAACCATAATACCCTATCATACATCGCTTTAAAATTATTCTCTCCCTCATCTGTTTCAGTACAGTATGCACAATTTATTCACTTTTTCTCAGTCTTACCCCCATCCTGATATCAGTCCCATTTTACAGCAGTGGCGTCATGCAGTATTTGTCCTTTTGCAACTGATATTTTTTTTACTCAGCATAATGTCCTCCAGGCTCACCCATTTTGAATAATATTGCATGAGTTCCTTGTTTTTCAATGCAGCATAGGATTCCATTGTGTGAATATACCACAGCTTCTCTAGCCATTCGTTTGTTGGTGGGCACCTGGGTTGTTTCCAACTCCTTGCTACTATGAACAAAGCCGCGATAAACATGGGTGTGCATATATCTGCTTGGATGTCAGTTATGGTCTCTTTGGGATATATTCCCAGTAGTGGAATTGCTGGGTCAAATGGTATCTCTATTTGCAACTTTTTGAGAAAGCGCCATATTTTACACTCCCAACAGCAGTGAATAAGGGTTCCAGTTTCTCCACAATCTTACCAGCATTTGTTGCTTGCTATTCTGTTAAATTTTGCTATTCTGACTGGGGTGAGATGATATCTCATAGTTGTTTTGATTTGCATCTCTCTTAGAGTTAGGGATTTTGAACATTTCTTAATGTGCTTGTTGGCCATCTGAATGTCTTCTTTGGTGAGGTGTATACTATAATTTTAAATGTCATTTACTATCACATATTTTCTAATACCGGAATTAAAATCTCACTGAGCCATACAAAAAATAAACAGAGAGAAACATTCAATATCTTCTGACCATTTGTTTAATTCATGAAATAGTTCCTAATAACCATTACATCTTAAGGACTGCTCCTGTTACAGAAATCCCTGGATGACGTGAGTAATTTAGCAGTTAGCTACGAACCAGAAAGTTAGCATTTCAAAGCCATACAAAGCCACCTAAGAAGAAAGCCTGAAATTCTACTTGCAAACCACCCTCCCCACCTCCAAACATGCTTCTGTACTGACATTTATGAGGACAACCTGAGTCAGAATCAGCTTGACAGCAACTGTTAATGTAGCTACTGGGGACATGGTAGTAGCCAATAGCTTCCGGTTCTCATGGGCATTCTTATCTTTACCCTGTAGTCATCTCATTAGTGTACAAACTCATTGGCCTTACAGAATCTAGTAGAAGCCAGAACATTATGACACTTAGTTACCCCTCAAACCTGCAACAAAATTCACACACACACACACACACACACACACACACCCCTATTCAACTTTCAGCGTAACAACATTGTTATTGTCAGGGGCTGTCTAGTTGACTACAAATCATCATGATCCTTTGTATAATCAAAATTTTGCTGATCCTATGTCATCCCCAAAATTTCCCCTCAACTACAGTCCACTGGTACAGTCACTGTGTCAATCCATTCCCTTGAGCATCTTCCCTTCCTTTCCTGACTTGCCATTTTTCCATCCATGGTGTCCTTTCTGAAGGACAGCCCTCCTAATAATATGCCTAAAATATGTCAGATGAAGTCTCATCATCTTTGCCTCCAAAGAGTACCCAGGTCTATAAGTTGACCAATAACAGCAGAAGACATTGGCTGCTTAGAATAGCTAGCCATATAGAATCATAAGAGTAGCATTTGCCCAAGGATAAATTCCAGAAAGCAGGAAGGCATAGGATAGAAGGATTAATGCAAATGACAATTACAAGGAGGGAATGGAGAAAGTTCATGTACATTGTGGGCATTGTAATTATTACTATAAAACAAAAATGTATATGGTTCGTTGAGTAAAAAACCTCATTTGCTTTCTAGACTTTCATTCAAATCATAACAATAAAATAAAACTTATTTAGAAGTAATCAGAGAAAAACTACAAAAACATTCCATAATCAACATCCTTGGTAC